GTGGGGGGGTGGGCAGCTCTAGAGAGTTACACGGCAGAGCAGGGCTCAGCCACGGGCTTGGGAGGCTGTTGGAAAGGCTGGGGGCTCCTTTGTGCAGACCGGAGCTGTGCTTCCCAACTCCTTCCTCTGCACATCGGTTTTCTGCCATCCCCCTTCGGTGCCCGGGCCCCACTGAGCCCCGGCACGAGCGGCACACGGGGAAACGTCTGTGTGTGGGTGGAGGGCAGCGATGACCTCCCCAGCTCGGCCTTATGGACCATCTTAGGGTCTCACTCCCCAGGGACGTGTTGCATCTCCAGGGCACAGCTCTCTCCTCCGTGGGCTCGGTCCTGCCTGGGTCAGCACCTGCCTCGCACTCGCCAGCACGAGGGACCTGGGCAGCAATCAGTCACGAAGTTGATTTTTTGGGGGGGGGTTGTGTTAAATGTAATTGGCGAATGTACTGGAAGCCTCTGCAAATCACTCTGCTTGTGATGCTTAAAAAAAATTGCTTGTTCTTTCTTTGCTGGGCTTTGTTGCATGTCCATACACACACACTCTCCCATTGATTCTGTGTATTTGACCGCAGCATCAGGGTGCTGCTTTTGTGCCTCTCCAGCTGAAGACAGTTCCTGAGTCTGTTCTTTGGGGGACCAGCTCTGCCAAGCTTTGGCGAAGGCTTTACTTCATCATCATTCTGACTCCCTCTCATTTTGCTTGGGAAGATGCTGGCAGACCACGGGATATGGTGGTGGATGCATGGCTGGTGTGCTTAGGAGGATGCCCAGGGCTGGATGTCCCCTGGGGTGGTGCAGGAGATGGCTCCGATATCATTTTAGGGCAGGAGGCGCCACGGGTAGACTGTTGCATATGTGCTGGTTTGTTCTTGCACACAGTTATTTGCCCTTTGCACCTTCTCTCAGTGTCCAGGCTGCTGCTGTCGGATACAGGTGACAGGCTGTGGGATGCTCCGGCCATGTTGTACCTGCAGCAGTCCGCAGCTTGTTCGTGAAGCTGACCCTGCGCCCCGCAGCCTGCACCGCCACCCCCGGGATTTGCAACCCCCACCCCTTTTCCCATTGATCTGTTTTTATTATTATTATTTATTCCTAAACCTGTTTCTCCCAGCACTGAACGTGAGCATCACGCTCGCGTCCCAGGGCTCTGCTTGCGGTGCCGGTGTTACAGCAATGTTGGGGCTCCTCAAAAAGACCCAAAGCTGCAAAATGAGCAGCTGCCTGCGGCAAAGCCAGGCCGAGGGGGAGCAGCGATGTTGTTGCACTCTGTGTGGTTTTGATGAGCTGTTTTGAAGAGGTGACCCGTCCCCTTTTCTCCTCTGGCTGACTGTCACGGCTCTACGCTGCTAATCCTGTTTTGAGCCTCCTTTCCTATGCACTGCCAAAATACCCAGGAAACAAACTGAGTTTACAAAATCCATGGTAATTTAGCACTTTTCTCCTGGTGGTTGTCGTAAGCCTGCTTTCGCCAGCGTGGGACTGTGGGATTCACTGCCTGTGCAGTCAGAGTGCCGTCACCTGGGATCGGCCCCATCGGAGCTGCTCATCACATTCATCTCCATCTTCTTCAGCTGGTTCATGGTGGGCATGATGCTGCTGCCAAAGGATCCAACATAGCTGCAAGAAGTGGGTCCCCAGAGACCCAGCTTTGCTGCTCAGAGTCATCCCCCAGCCCAAGGACAGCTTGGCACCGATGCTTGAGAGGTCGGTAGCCACGCTGTGGTCTGGGCTTTTCCCACGGTCGGCTTAGAAGTGGCACCAGGACCCTCCCTGGGGATGGGCGAGGAGTTTGGGGCACAGCTGGCTGGCCCTGCTCCCTACGGGTCCCCTGGGGCCAGGCACTACGTGCTGGGTCACGGTGAGCATCGGTAGCAAGAGCAGCAGCAGCCCCAGTACAGTGCCAGGGTCTGCTCCTCCTCTCGGGTCACTCCTCCGAACACCCCAGCTCTCGCTCCATGGTGAGACGAGATACCTGGGTACCAGCCCAGCTCCTTTCTGCTCCCTCCCAGGCTTCTTTCTGGGTGGATTTCAAGCCCCTCGCCAGGGCACGATACATGGATTGAGGTTTGCTGGCTGGTTTGTACATCTGTGAGGTGGTTATTTTTATTTTCTTGTGAACGCTATAAAAAGATGAACTCGGGAGCGACTCCTGTCCTTTCTGGGAACTCAGCCCGGTGCAAAGGGGAACGACCTGGGCTTGAAAGCGAGCGCCAACTCCGTGGGGCTTCCCGTGGTGCGACCCGGGGACTGGCACCACGATGCCCTGCAGCATCTCGGGCTGAGATCTGTGGGTGCAGCTGGGTGTGAAAGGACAACAGGTCTGGGGAGGGGGGGTGAGATGGAGGGGAGCAGGGTCGGCATCTCCTCTGCGATGGCATGAAGGGACGAGGGACGCTGCGCCCCCAGGTATGCCAGCTCAGGGACCCCTGTCCTTGGGCAGGTGGTGAGACACTGTCTCCATCCCAAGGTGAGCAGATAACCGTGCCCAGGAGCGGGGGCTGAACCCCTCGCCGTGGGAGGGGGATCCATCGAAGCCAGGTCCCACGGCTCTCTGAGCAGAGGTGGATGAGGGGAGGAGGAAGATGAGGCTTTTAGCCATGTCTGCGTGGCTGATTCACTGTTTTCCCTGGCTGGGAAGACTTGAGCAGGGGAGATAAATGCAGATATAAGTAATGGAGCTGTTTATACGCTCGTTGTCTGTGACTTATGCTGTGAGCAGGCCTAGACTAAATATAAGGGTTATTGATATGAGGCAGCGGCCGATTTATGGCCCTCTGCATGGGGACAGGAAGATCTGGTTATAATAACACTCAGCAGGGAAAAACAAATGTTTGACAGCCAAAAGCCTCCTGGGAAGAAAGTCCGAGCGCTGGGGAGGGGTGGAGGGCAGTGTGGCACAGAGGAGGGCTGCGTCGGGACCCGGCCCTGAGCAGACCCCCGGGGAGATCCACGGTGGCAGATAGAAACAGCCTCCTGCATCACATCCCGGCCCTGCCGTGGGGATGTTGCAAGGAGGGAAATCTGTGCAGACAGATCTACGCCCTCTGTAATGGCAATTTATAGAGACCTGATCTTCACGGGTGCTCGGTGCCGTCGGGGCACAGCTCTGGGCATCGCAGGGATGCTCAGCACAGCCCGTCCCAGCTCCCACGTGCTTTCACCACCTCCTCTGGCTGCGCTCTGCCGCAGGGTTTTCAAAAGAATTAATTGATCCTATTCCAGTGATGATGCTTCTGGTAAGAAGATGATGGGTCTTTAAATAAAGCCCTTGGCTGCTGGTGGTCGTAGGGCTCAGCCGCTCGTGGAGCCTTTGCAGTGGTAAGAACGGGGGACGCCTGAGTCACGGCAGCCTCTTGTGCGTGGGTACGGCCACGTTAAGGGGAGCACGGGGCCGTTCCTGGATGCTCAGAGATAACCCACACCCTCTGCTCCACTGCTGCCCACGGCTTCTGGGGAAGGGTCTGGAGCACAAGTCCTGTGAGGAGCGGCTGAGGGAACTGGGGGTGTTTAGTCTGGAAAAGAGGAGGCTGAGGGGAGACCTGATCCCTCTCTATAACTACCTGAAAGGAGGGTGCAGCCAGGTGGGGGTTGCTTTCCCAAGTATGTAGTGAAAGGACAAGAGGAAATGGTATCAAGTTGTGTAAGGAGAGGTTTAGATTGGATATTAGGAAAAATTTCTTCACTGAAAGAGTGGTCAGGCATGGGAATAGGCTGCCCAGAGAGGTGGGGGAGTCACCATCCCTGGAGGTGTTCAAAAAACGTGTAGACGTGGCACTTTGGGACATGGTTTAGTAGACATGCTGGTGTTGGGCTGATGGTTGGACTTGATGATCTTAGAGCTCTTTTCCAATCTTAAAGATTCTACGATTCCCTCGGGCCAGCGGGTCCCACCACCCCTCCAGCACCCACCTCTCCTCTGCTGTGGACCACGGGGTGTCTCAAGGGAGCAGGACACGGGATGCAGGATGGAGGGCTTTATTGTGGCTTCCCCGGCTGCCTCGGGGTCCCCAGGACTCACGTCACGCAGCCCCAGCTGTCCAGCCCCGCACCACCGCCGCAGGAAAGCAGTGCCGGCGCTCTGCTTCGCTCTTCTCTGCGAGCACCTCGCCTGGGCTGAGACGCTGAGCCGTGCCCAAGCTGTCTGAAAGCATTAAAATCCTCCCCCAGTGCTGACCCGCTGATGTCCTGCTCCGCTTCCCCCGGCAGTGTAACCTCTCCTGTGGGGCCCCGGCTGTGCTCCCCTGGCAAACAGCCTCCCTCCCTGCCCGTCTTCGGCAACCTCCGGATGCTCTGCAGAGCCTCGCGCGCACCGGATGAGCCATGGTCAGCAGCACGGAGCAGTGTCCCGTGCCCTCGGCAGTCCTGTACTTGGGCTACGGCGCTTGTCTCGGCTGCGGATGCTGCTTTCAGCCGTGCTTCGTCTTGGGGAAACCTTGCCCGAGCCACAAGCTGGGATGTGAAAGCCCAGCCAGCACCGGCTGCACCACAGAGGTTTGTCTCCTGGTTTCTGCGCTTCTCTCCTGCATTTTCCTACCTGAGCCAGGTTTGTGCCCATGTGGCTGTGGCCAGTGCTGCCCCAGGACGCAGCTCCTGGGACACAAACCAAGACTTCCCAAGTCTCCCTAAAAGTGCATCCTGCTAACTCCAGCCAGACACGGTGTTGGTTGGGGAGACCAGAGCTTTCAGTAGACTCCAGGTGTAGAGGCAACAGGGTGTAAGTCTGTCTGTGACTGAGGAACAGGTGATTCCACATGAGAGTTGATTTGGGGCTTTGACCTCTCTGCTCTCAGCAAGTGCTCGGTGGAAGCAAATCCTGCCCCTGGGATCCTCGGTCGGTCGCTTGGCTGAGTCCGTAGCCAGCAGTATCGCTTTAACAGTTATGATATCTGGGTTCATTTGAATGGAAAAGGGTGCGATTTGATGCATTTTAACCCAAAACGTAGCCCATCCCCAGGCCTGCGATGCTACGGGAGACTGCAAAGCCATGGGGTGGGAAGAAGCTCTGCTAGGTGATGTTGAAGGTGATGAAGGAGCCATCCGCTTTCTGCTGATGTCCCACCGGCTCTGCCTCCCCCCAGGGCTGGGCTGGGACCTTGCAGCGTAGGGATGAGCGGCCGGGCAGGGCTTCGCTGATGTGGGTCACCTCGCTGAGCTCTGCCTCCAGCGTGCTGACGGTGTTCGTCACTTGGGCCACGTGGACCTTGTTGGCTGCCTTCTTGTGCAAGAGGCAGATGAAGATCTTCTTGAAGCCCTTGCGGAAGTGTTTGGAGACCAGGGCGTAAACAATGGGGTTCACACAGGAGTTGGCATAGGAGATAAGATGTGAGAGGATACGGAGCACGTATGTAGCGTGATTGAGAGGGAAGTACCCGAACCAGACACAGAGGATGACCAGGTGATGGGGCAGCCAACAGAGGCAGAACAGGACGGCTACAATGATGATCATCCTGGTGACCTTCCGTTTGGCCTTCTTGGACTCCGACATGTCCTGGAGAGGGTCCACAGACCTCCACAGGTAGCGAATAGTCCGCACGTAAGTGAGGCTCAGGATCAGCACTGGGATGATGTAGCTGAAGATGAAGGTGCAGATATCCATGACCTTGCGCTGGGAGATCTCCCAGATGGGGTGGCAGACGGTCAGGTTGGCCAACTGGAACTCCTGGTAGTAGCTGAGGTAAGGGCCCGAGAAGATGAAGGAAAGCCCCCAGATGAAGCAGATGGCCATGAGGGCGTTCCTGGGCGTCCTCAGCTCCCTCGAGTGCAGGGGGTATCGTATGGCCAAATACCTGCATGGGAGAGGGAGAGGGACATGGTTGCAGTCCTGGGGAGAGCACGTGGAGCTGCTCCAGGAGCAGACTGGAGAAAGGGCAAAAGTGATGGATCTGAGCTTTCCAGGGCAATTAGTCCCACAACTGATTCCGTGGTGCTCCTAAGTGGTCCTCTCCCCCGACCCTGTCCCATCACCCTCCTGGCTCCCAGCAGTGCTTGCAGGGAAGATGGGGACAGTCCCCTTCTGTCCCTGTCCCTAATCCAGCAGGTCCTCACTTGATCATCGGTCTATCTCGCACAAGCGACAGCAGCAGTGAGGATATGAAAGCAGGAGCAAGTCCCCTGGATCCTCAGCCACTGCATTGCTTGCACTGGCACATGCGAAAGCACGTCACCCGTTTTCAGCTCTGCAATTAGATGGTTCCTTAATTACGCTCAGATCTAGGGGCTCACGCAAGTCCCCACTTGCTCGATACCTCTCTTCCTCCCAGCTCTGTGGGGTGCAGGAGGAGAGGCAGACCCTGGGTCCAGTTTGGCTCCTGGGGGCTGGGGGGGGCTGTCCCGGCAGCCAGGGCGGTGTCGTGCTGGGATGGCAGGATCCATCCAGCCCTGTTCTGGGGCTGCCGCGGCTCTTCCCAGGGGACTTTCGCGGGGACTTTACACACCCCACTGCCTCGCAGGTTTCGGGCACCGAGCAGAGCAGTACCAGCAGCTCCCCGGCTCTCGCTTGCTGAGGGTTAGGAACTCACCAGCCCTTGCAGAGCCAGGGGCTGAGCTAGCGTGGGGTAAAGCACAGGCAGGAGCAAGAGGCTCCCTTTCGCAGCCCCCCTGGGGCTGGGACAGTCACTGGGACAAGGGACAGCACTGGGACAGAAAGGGGCTTTTTGCTAATAAAAGGAGAGGGTGGGAAAAGCAGCGTCCCAGCTCAAACATCCCCGTGCTTTCTCCTCCTCGAGGTTTGCTCGCTTTGCTGTGGGCTGTTGGGAGGGTAGGGGCTCTCTCCACACATCCTGGGAAGAGCAGGCGCTGCGCAGGGATCCAGCTTTGCTTCTCTCTGGTTTTCTATCTCCCCTTCAGCTGCCAGAGCCTGAGGATAAACCCCAGTCCTGTTACAGCTTCGGGGTCTGAAAACCTCCTTCAGCTGGGCACTGGGGCAAGCGGTCCCAATCCAGCCCTCGCCGCTGGACCCCATCCTCGATGACTGCATTTCCTTGCACGCACGAACTGGGAAATGCTCCTGCATTCACCTGCGAACTCCTGGAGGTCGCAGCAATTGGGACTTGGCTCCAGGGGATTCTGTC